AGGGGTCGTTGTTTTGGTAGGTTGGCAGCTTGGCGGCTCTGAAAAAACAAAACGCACCAGTGGCAGAGTGGCAGTGATTCGAGATGTGGGGCAGGTGGTTGATCCGTCACCTGTTGTGTGTTTCGCGCGTTTGGTTCTCCAGCTGCTTACCGCACCCCCGTTCACCCAATGGGCCAAAGCTAAATCGACACCCTGAACCCAAAGAACGACTCAGACACCTCAACCTCGTTCTGTCATATCACGGTGTAGCAGCTGTAGCATTGCAGCAACCGCCAACAACCTGCCAGCCCACGCACTTCGTAGCAAGCAGACTGTCAACTGGCCATGCTCTCCGTTCTGTCGCTTGCAGCTGCCCTTGCGGTGGCGACTTCCTTTCGAGTGCTTGATGTGGGACCGCCGAGGACCGGCACGCAGACGACCCTTGGCAGGTTTGAGCTTCCAGCTTCATGGATAAGGATAATAAGGAGTTGAGCTCAGATTAGACTCGGCATGCAAAGAACCCGAGCTTGATATCACGACTACAGCTTTCCAATTGGACTCCGCCAAGCTGGTTCGTTCCATTGCCATCGGCTGATTCTCGCACTCCAGGTTTAACCGTTTGAATTTGAATGTACGAAGCTTGCGATTGGTTTGGGCTGCTCCTTTTGCCTTAGCATTGCGGCTGTTGGCACCCGTTTTCGTTTGCTACCACCAAGTAGCCCACAACCAAGACATCCAGCCTCCTATTGAAATTGTCTAGGCACGTCTAAGCCTAAGCTTATCTCATCGAGCCCCAATTCGAAGCATTTCGATGCCGAGTGCCCCCAAGGCTGAAGGTGGCCTTGGAGGCGTACGGTTTCCATGCACTCCACACGAGCTACAATTACACGGCACGGTTGCCCTGGTGCGACTACCTCTTCGGAGGCAGGGATGCCAAAAGCTCACAATACGAGGGGTGGGGATCAAAGGCCAGCAGAGCAATAGAAGAGCTTTGCTTATCGCCAAATGCAAACATTGAGACATAGTTCAAAAACCTAGGAAACTGTTGTCAATCTCGATGAATTCGATCTTTTACCAAAATTGGGAAACGAGGCAAGCACAAGACACCGGACAGCCCTAAATTTTCTGCACCTTGACCACAGAAAATGCTGTTCTCACCGGTGTAAAACAGCATGTATGTCTTGCACGATTTCGTCGCGTCCGAGCCTCGTCGTCGTCTTTGTGGTCGTGGCTGTGGCTGCGGTATGCTGTGGTTCCGGTTGTGGCGGTGGTTGTGGTCGTGCTTGTTGGTTCACAAGACGTAGGTTGGTTGGGTAGGGCGGGCCATGAACTTTTCAGGAGATGGTGAATCCCGTAGCTCCAGGCCCGAGCCCATCAGCACAGGGATGCCTTCTTTTCCCCTGCCACGGATCCTTCCTTGGCGGAGCTGCTCATTGGGCATACGCAGCTGGAGTCTTGGTTGCGGTCATTGGGCATCTGACTGTCTTTGCGAGCTGGAAGCCCGCGACAAAATGACTAGATCGGACATGTTCCTCATGCAAGATTTATATCACGTGGCGCGAGCGGGCCTTGAACGAGGGGCTTCTGTGAGATCTATTGTGGCGGCTCGCGATAGTTCCTTCAGAGGGGCTGTTCTGTGGAAGCCGGCGCTGGCTGAAAGTGCAGTCAAGAAGCCGCGAACTTCGGCCCCTTGGAGACAATCTGCTCGCCCTGCGGAAGTTACAGTGCGTACGGCTGTTCCGCGTGAGGTCCCGCAGGCTACGCAGAAGAAGGTACGAGAACTCTTGCGACCACGCATTTCTTGGACTTGTCTGCTCTGGGTCTTGCTCCCATCGATTGGGAAGATGAGGGCAGAAAAGCAGCTGCTGAGTCCCTTGTCATGTCTTCGGCCAGCTTGCGTCAAGTCTTCGTCGGTGGATTCGCTCAGCAAATGAGTCCAAAGTTGCCTTGGCTAACCCCAGTCCCGCCCAGTTTGCGGCTTTTGTTCAAAGGATCGCTTTTGGAGGTCCAACTGCGGCTTGTGGGGTTTTGATGTCTTGGCTTGGTGTAACAAACATCTGGGGGCCGTGTTTGCGCTTGATCATCTCCTCACCAGGCCTTATCGGTGCCATGCTGTAGGGCACAAGAGCATGCAAGCAGATGAGCTCCTCGGAGCTTCTTAACCTTCTTGCTGTTACGGCTGAGTTGACAGGCACCCCCAGATCATTGGTGTCTTTATCCTGGCCAGCCCTGTGACGTGCATTCGATTTCGCCCTCGGCTTCAGGGCTTTAGCCTCTGCGAGTGCTTGCTTCATTCGAGCATGTGCATCCGAAGGATGCCAATTTTCAATGGCCCGCGTTGTCATTGCGGGCGCCCGACCTTTGGCAGATGTCTGAGGCCACTGATTTCTGCAGTCGCCAGATGTCTCGCCAACAATTTCTTCAGTGCTTTAGGGGGTTTCTTTGCCGAGCTTTGATCCCCGCGGATCGAGCAGCGCCTGCAGGCTACAATCGCCTGCGCAGGTGCATGCCCACATGCAGGGGGCAAGGTGCATACTAGTTGATTGGCAAAGCGCTCAGTGTGCGATGCCGTGCTTGGTGCCTTTAAGGCGGGCTCGTGTCCTCGTGCAGACGGCCAGAACTTGCTAAAACTAGGCTGCATTTTGTGGCCCAAGTTGCGGAGCTCTCTCTCAAGACTCGCTCTGACTCTGTGTCCAAGGATGCTCCTGTGCCTGCCCCGTCCCGACGAGCGGGACTCCCTCAGATGAGTCGTCGTGCAGTTTTGCAGGGCTCGAAACGTCACCTGATCAGGGAGTGGGACACAGGTGTCCGTGCAGTGCCTTGATGTCGTGATAGCGCTTTCGTCCAGGGCCCAATTTACTTACCAGAGAACCTGGAGTGGACAATCCTGACAATCCGTCTTTCCAGTTGTGGTGTGCAAAGTGCCTGGGTAGGATGCCCAAGCCTCATGCGAAGCAGCTCCGTCTCCAGCTGGAGTGAAAAGTGTTGTATCATGCATTGGCATGGACCACTTTGTGCTCATGCTGTGAGGGGTTTGACTTCCGCTGTTCCAGCAAAGCAAATTGAGCTTGTTGCAGGCCTGCCAGTGTTCAGCATTCCTGGTGTGACGGTGAGTACGGTCGGCGTGCAGCGAGGATGAATCGTCGATCCAGGAACGATCCCCATACTTGCCCCAGCAATCTTCCCCTCCAGCATTCTCTGGCATCCCAGGGCTGCACTTCAGCCAAGCCGGTTGCAAGCTCCAAGAATGCTGCGTTCATTGCTCTTCTGTCAGCACTCTTGCGATGGCCAGACCTAGGGCAAGCTCAATCCTTTCATATTTCAGGGTTCCCCATCGTAGGCCCGGTCCCAACTTCGGGTGTCTTCCGAACCATGGCTGAATCCCTTGATGACAAAGAGGATGTGGATGAGCTTTTGCGCCGGGGTCCACCTAGAGACTCAGATGTCATCCTCAAAGTCACTGAGGAAGAGATTCAGAAAGCCTTCTGTAGCCCTCTTTCGTATGTCGAGGACTGAGGCGGTTGACAAGCTCTTCGGGTGTGGACGCCGGCGCCCGCTTGAGAGATTCGTTACCACTCAGCCCGACGGGGAGCAGAGAGTTATCGACAACGCGCGCCGCGCGCGCGGGCCACAACGCCCATACTCAGATGCCAATCTTTTCCGTTAGCGTTGACTTCATTGCAAGCTGCGCTCGGCATGTTTCCATGCTGTCTTTCCATCTTGCGACCAGCCGACACCTCCAGCATGTGACTGCATGCGCTTGGGGCCCGACAATCTTCCAGATGCTAGCCGCGGTCATCCAGTCAAGGACCAGCATCTGAGGTACATGCAGTTGCCAGTCGGGTTCCAAACACTGGCTGGCGCTTTACTGTCTTGTGGGGCTTGGCTTACGGCCTGGAGGCTGCTGTAGTAGGTAAAGCAGCTTGCAGACGCCTTGTCTCGTCGGCTGCAGCTGGCTTACTTCGACGATGAGCTCTCCATTGAGTTCATCAGAGATGCTGATGTGTCGCAGTCTGGTCTCCATCTTGTTTTCATGTCGATGGGCAGCCCTCCGCAGCCTAAGAAGCATTTCTGGGCGGCTCCTGACAGCTGCTACTTGGGAACATCAGTCCATGTGGGCATGCCACATTCGCACGGCATCATTCGTGTACAGCCGTCCAGCCCAAGGCCTCCTCGATGGCGAAGGTTTGTGAAAAGATTGATCGGGCTCTGGAACAGAGTGCTCTTGCACGCGATGTTTTCATTTTGTGCCGGCTCGGTGGCGGCATTTGCGGGCCCACTGCTACAACGATAGTCTACAACGATGTCAGGGTGATCTTTGCTCCCCCACCGCTCCTACCGCATGGCGGCACTTGCGCGGCAGGAAGTCATCCACGAGTGGACCCTGGCGGCCAATATTCCCAGGCGAGGCTCTTTGTTTGTGGATGTTACCACGTTTATATCCTCAGCTTTTCAAGTCCCGGGATATCCTGAGATTCAGGTCATCGACAAGCAAGCGGCAGTTGCGGCAGCTGTGAATGCTTCATCATCTGAGGAGGATGTGTTCGAGATTGCCCATATGTCCAATGAGCTCCAGACGAAGCTGGGCTGTAGATCCTGGTTTGAATGGGTGGACTCGGACTCCAATCCTATCCTAACGACAGCCTCTCCCATGATGGCGGCAGAGAAGTGTGGACACGTGCACAGACTGGTTCCTGCAGAGCTTTGATTTCCCTACGGCTGCGCATAGAACTCAGATTCGCAGTGACCTGCTGAAAGTATGAAACAGTGGGATGGGAGCTATCGGGCTGCTGTCTTTGGAATTGGAACCTTCGTCAGGTGCCCAAGCAGTCCTTCACACGTCACACGTCAGGTGTATGTCGTTCCTTCACCACCTGCTCTACCCAATCTCTTCGACATTGTGCCACTGTTCCATACCTATCTTACCCAGAATAGTTCCAGGATCACAAAACGTAGATTGGTTGGGTAGGGAACTTTGCAGGAGATGGTGAATCCCGTAATTAGCTCCAGGCCCGAGCCCATCAGCACAGGGATTCCTTTCTTTTCCCCTCCCGCCCTGCCCTTCTCGCTTGCGGGGTGACGAAGGTCGAGGCAGGTGCAGGGTAGCGGTCCGCTACAATCCTGGCTCGTACTCGCGCCAACTCACAGAGGAGGCTAGCATCCACGTCACTATGCCCACATCGGGGCCAACCCAAAGCCCTAAAGAGAGGGTCGGGTGGGAGGTGTCGGGAGTCCGTGCGTAAACCCGGGCAGGTCCACTCGTGAAGTCTGTCCGGGTGCGCGTCACCGCAGTAGCAGCATGGGTCCACTGCCAGGCCCTGGGTCAACTGGAACCGAGCCTGACTAACCCAGTGGCCGACGGCAATGGCTCGCATGTGAGGTCGAAGAGGAGGCGGAGCAGCCTCGCACGCCTTGGAGACGAGAACCGCCCTCTGTTCCACGTCCCGCCATCGCAAATGGCCCGCAGCCTGAGCTGCTTTGGTACCGGAGTCTTGAAACTCACGCCATTGCTGGGCGTGCCAAGCATCACGGAGCACGTGGGCCACATGAGCCTTACCCTGCCCCGGCAGTGAGCACACCACGCGTCCTCCCCTTGCCAACCAGGCAGCATTCCCACGGTGAGCAGGCAACCGTGCATCAAGGATGCTGTGGGCATCCGCGTGCTCCCAGACCCACGGCTCGAGGGCGTTCCAGCCCTGTCGCTCCATCCAGCGCCGGAGCATCATGATAGGGCCTTGGTTCTGGCGCATGCTCTGCCAACAGTCACGGAGGCCTCCATCCAAGTGCATAAGCAGGTGCAGTGTCTGATGCGCCCCAGCAATCTGTGCAGCGGGCCAGCCGCCCCAAAGACTATGTGCATCCCCGTGACACGCATCAATGGCGCGTTGCAGCTTTTGGAGCTCCTGCAGATTGGGAAGTCGTGACCATCCACACGACGTGGCCACGGCCATGCCCGTGCTTTTTGCGAAAAACAAGGCTTGGTGGCGCGTGACCGGAAGGGCGGCAGCCTCAAGGATGAGGTACTGAGCTGTGTTGAGCCGCTTAGTCTCATCCTCACTGGGCCCCGTGTGGGCCCGTGTCAGCTGAAGCCGAGTGCCAAGCACCTTGGGGCGCTCCACCACCGTGCCCACGGTGCCCGACTGCTCCAGCGTCTCCTGCAGCGCAGTCTGTGCGGCCAAACCGCCCGTGGCGGCGTATTCAGCCTTGCTGCGGCATTCCGCCATGCCCACATGACCCATCTCGTGTTTCCACCGGCGGCCGATGGATGCACACAAGTCCGCGTTGGAAGTGATCCAAGACCTATCATCTAAGTATACCCGATGGAGGTGCTGCCCCCCCAGTGCCGCGGCGTGCCGTTTCACCCGCACGAGTGCTTCACTGATGACGGCGCACAGGGCCATCGGCGAGGCTGCATCCCCCTGCGGCAGGCACCACACTTGACTACACGCCACCTGGCTCACGAGCCCGCTGCACAAAGCCACCGCGCCTGGACACGCCAAGCCCTGTCCCAAGCCTGAAGTAGCGAAGCCGGCACACCCATGCGGCCAAGATCCCGAGTGCAGAACTCTGCCCCCAGGGAGTCGTAAGCTTTAGCTAGATCGGCCGCGCCAATGAAGCGAAAACACCCATCACGACCCGCGCGCATCGGGTCCTTACCCAGCTCAAGCAGCGCCAGTGCGGTGTGTACCCCTTTGCGGCGGACACTGCCATGCTGCTCGTCCGGCAAGACCTGGGCAAGCCAAGGGCGAACACGGATCCCGCTCCAGATCCGGTACCAAACCGAGCTCAAGGAGATGGGGCGCAAGGAGGCCAAGGCGCCCAACTCCTTGTTGGGCTTCTGCAAGTGGACCTGCTTCCAGTGGCCCAACTGCGCCGGCCAGTCTTGACCAGCTTCCACTTGCGCAAAGAGGTCGCGCGCGGTTTGCAGCGCGGCCTCCGGCAGATGTTCGAGCTCGGAGCCCCGCCACCCGTCCGGGCCCGGGGCTTTGTGACGCTGCCTAGCGGCGGCACTACGGACGTCCGCAGGAGAGAGCGGAGGGACAGGAGGAGGAGGAATGTTGGGCCATGCCGCATCCTCCGCCGCCAATTGCTCAAGCAATGCATGCTGCTGGGGAGTAGGCCTGGTGGGCCAAACCTCCTCCCAAAAGTCCTGGAGGGCCTTAGTGACTCCTTCGCCGGTGACTGGTACTCCCGTGCGGGGGCATTTGAGAGAGGTGAGTGGCGGACTACCGCGATGCCGACTAAGGCGTTTCCACACCGCTTGGGGTTCATGGCGAAGCTTATGCTTCCATGCTGAGATGCGTCGCTTACTGATGTCCTCTTCAGCACTACGAATGGCATCCGAAATCCAAGACTGACTAATCTGGAAGGCTCGCTCCTGCGTTGGGTCATGAGGGCATCCCAGGGCGTGAGCCTCTCTGCTAATGTTACTCCTAAGACCCTGCGTTCGACTACGCGGAAACTTCACAAACTCCTGGGTCCTACGCCAAAGCCTGCGCAGCCTTGCCAGGCGCACCGAGTAGCAGTTGTCCGCTTGAGGACGGTGGTGGCAATGAACCTCACAGACTTGGGGGATCTGGGGCTTACACCGAGACCGAATCCGAAGCAACAGAGGGTCATTAGAGGGAAGGGTAACTCGCAAGGCATCCTGCAGACATGAACGATTGCCACGTGGGGCTGGCGGGGCAGCGGGCTTCCCATGCCGTGCTGAGCGCCGCCCGCCAGACTTCCTGCTCGACCCCTGGGGGCTTACGGTAGTCCGGTCCGGCCCTGAGCTGCGTGAATTTCGCGGGCCTGCGAAAGTGATTAGGCCCCTGCCATAGTACGAGCTTGTGATCGGCGAACTTATCCTCTTGGAGCGTCGGGTGGAGCTGTATGCCCCAGAGCAACCCCCAGTCCAAACCAGTGTCACCGTCCCACCGCGTGGGGAGAGGCTCGGGCATGACTTCAAGCGAGTCCGCAGGCAAAGGCTCGTGTGGGTAGACAACCGAAGCATCAAGAGAAGCCCCCCAACCCCCTAACGGATCACCCCTAGGATCATGATTAAAGTCTCCGGCTGCGGTCTTTGGAACCTTCGTCAGGTGCCCGAGCTGTCCTTCACGCGTCAGGTGTATGTCGTTCCTTCATCAACTGCTCTACCCAATGTCTTCGACATTGCGCCATATTGTGACACTGTTCCGTACCTACCTTACCCTGACAGTTCTTCTTCTTCTTCTTGCTGCTCTTGTTGCTGTTGCCCCTGCCGCTGCTGCTGCTGTTGTCGTCGCTGTCCGCAGTCGCCGTCGACGCCGCTTTCGCTGCTGATGTTGTTATTGTTGATTGTTGATGGTCGTACGTAGCGATTGTGTGTGTTTTGTTTTGTGCTGTTGGGTGTTGAATGTTGCGTGTGCCTGTGGTTGGCTGTAGTGGTCGTGGTCGTGGTTGTGGTTGTTGTCGTTGTTGTTGTTGCTGCTGTTGCTGTTGTTGCGATTGTTGGCTGTGGCTGTGGTGGTGTTGGTGGTGTTGGTAGTGGTGCTGTTGCTGTTGCTGTGGCTGTTGTTTCTGCTGTTGCTGGTGTTTCTGTCGGTGGTGTTCGTTGTTTCTTGTCTGCTGTTGTTGTTGTTGTTGTTGTTGGTAGGTGTTGCGTTTGCCGCCGCACGGGGTGGTGCCATTCCTCTGCTGGCATGCGCTGAAACTCGAGTTTTGGCACTTTTTTCACCTGACATTTAACTTTGCTTTTGCTTTCGCATCGGTTTTTGCGGTGTTTTCTACCAAAAATAGTGACCGCGCCGGCGGGCTCCACTCGGCAAACTTTTGTTCGGCTCTGCATTTCGCATCGTTTTTTTCTGTGTTTTCCTGTCTCTCTCCCATTTCGCATCGGCTTTTGCAATGTTTTTGCCGACGTTCGACTTTCTGCGCATGCCGGCTTGGGGGTGCTCTGCTCTGGCGACTTCTTTTCCGTTTCTTTTGTTCGTCTCCTCGGTGGGGGGGGTGATGACGTCCATGCGACTGCGACTTTTCTTTTCTGTTTCTCTTGTTCGTCTTCTTCTGCTCTGTTCCAGTTCGGTTCGTTGGTGGGAAGTGTGGGCGGGGGTGATGACGTCCATGCGACTGCGACTTTTCTTTTCCGTTTCTCTTGTTCGTCTTGTTCTGCTCTGTTTCGGTTCGGTTCGTTGGTGGGAAGGGGGGGGGCAAGCACACATTTAAGAAAATGTAGCTGTGATCATGATGTACAGATGACACACTCGTTTTCTTCAACACATGAGGATAGTTCTTGTCGCACATGACCATGAACATGACAGTGCTGCTCCCTGTTGGCCTTGTTGCAACGTTGCTTTTCAAACGCTACCAGTTGCTATGTCCCTTGGTGCTTCCCGTTTCTTGTTGCTTCACTTTTGAAACGTCCACCATGCAAAAACCTCGAGATTGTCAAGCTTTCCAGACAAAAACTTCCAAATTTAGCAGGAAAACCAACATAAATCAAACACGAAAAACACGGTATTTGCGATACTTCCGCAAAAACCAGACCAAAATCACAAGACAAAGAACCTCCGATACATCGTCTTGTTGATGAAAACCATGCAAAAAGCGTGGTTTTCTAGCTGTTTGAGCAAAAAACCTGCCAAACATAAACGACACACCCCGCGCGCCGGCAGACGCAACGCTTTCCTTGTTGTTGTTGTTGTCGTCGTTTTTGCCGTTATTGTTGTTGGCTGTTGCTGTTGCTGTCGCTGCTTTTGCTGTCGCTGCTTTTGCTGTTGCTGCTGCTGTTGTTGTTTGCGGTGGTGGTGGTGGTGGTGGTGGTGGTGGTGGTGGTGGTGGTGGTGGTGGTTGTCGTCGTTGTTGTTTCGTGTTGTATAAACTGTAGTACAGTGCATCTGCTGGATAGGAAATGCCAGCTCCCAGCCTTGTGTACCCTTCATTTCTTAGCTTCCTGTTGCAGTGGCATTTCCGCAGTTCCCAGATTCTGGATCGTTGGGGACCCGTCATGTCTTACTCAATTCTTAGCCGTGGCTCGAACCCATGGAAACTCAGCTGCTGAGCCAATTAATGCCCTTGCCATATTAGCTTAGACAGACTCCGCTAAAATAGTATGCTATTACTCTATCACAGTTTAATGTCGAGATTCTAGATGGCCCTCCAGCTCACCTTCCACAGGCTTAGGCAATGGAAACCAAGCCAAAATAAGAAACGTAGCCCCTCAATTTTGTTATTTTGGCCCCTGCTCTGTGCCCTAGGCTTAGTATTTGGGAACCACCCAAAATAATCACAGTCCCCCCTACGTTTCTTATGTTGGGTCCTGCAATGTGAATGGAAACCATCCAAAATCAGAAACGTAGCCCTTGGCTTCTGCACGGTGCCCTAGGCTTGATTAGGACTTGGAAACCACCCAAGATAAGAAACGTAGCCCCCTACATTTCTCATCTTGGCTCCTGCACAGGGCCTAGAAACCACCCAAAATAGGAAACGTAGCCCCCTACATTTCTTATTTCAAGGTTTTCGAGGCTTGAGAACATCCGAATTAAGAAACCAACCTCCCAGCCAAATAAGAAATGACCTTGAAACGTTGGGTGCCTTTCATTTCTTAGCTAGAAGGCGTTTAGATTTTGAGTTTTTTTCTGCTATCCGGCTGCGTAGCCCCACGTTTCTTATTGACCCGTTTCTTGTGCAGTGATTGTAATCGTCTATTTCAGTTTTCCTGTTATTCGTCCCTTCTTCCTCTGTTCGTTGTAACGTGTTCGCCCGTAGTTTCTTTCTTTCTCCCTTCCTCTCCTGTCGTTCTTTCTTTTCCCCACTCCTGTCTGTCCCGAGTACTTTGCCTCTGGCCTCCTTTGTTTCTTCGGTTCTTTGCCCATGCAGGAATAAACCATTTACTTTTGTCGTGCTTTCAACTGTTCTTGCACATGTTTGATGCATGACTTGTGACGTGATGCTTGTGACTTTCGTTTGTGCCTACATAGCTGCCCAGCCCCTGCCTGTGTAGGCTGCCTTCCGAGTGTTTTCTCTGATCCCTGTTGACTTGGCTACACCATTCTTGAGCTAGGCAGAAGGCCTTGCAATTTAGCGGCATGGCAGGATACGGGCACATGGCAAAAGCAAGGTACGAAGAGTCATACATGCAGACATTATACCGTAGGGCCCGTGCTATCTACAAGGGATGCTTTGAGTGCAGCAGGCCTCGTTTCGGCCGGCATTTGTTGCGACAGAATGCCTCTAAGAATTGGCTGTTTCAGCAAGTGTTGTTCTCTTGCGTTCTTGTGTTTGTGGACTGTGAGGGCACTTTGTTACGCAACGACCGTGCTCCTCCCATTTTCGACTGTATTGCATGCATGGGATGGCTTGAATGAATGGATGGATCAATGATTTGGCGAATGGGCGGCTGGATGGGTCGATGGATGGATGAATGCATGAGTGAATGCTTTACTGGCTGCTATAAGGGCCTTCGTGAAGTTAACACGTCTTCATTCGGGAGTGACGACTATTGTGTGTTTGGAACACGAAGGACCTGTAAGCTTATCGTTCGTGTTGTCAAGTTTTTGTTCGGGTTTAGTTGAAGTCCAGGGCTGAGATTCCTTTGTCTGTGCGTCGCACGCTGACTTAGAAGCGGATGTTCCAACTTTGGGGGGCTCGCATCAAGATTTCGACCCGAACCCGACAACGAACACGTCTCCTGTGTCCAGGCGGGCCCTTGGAGCCTGCACTGCGTACCTTGGATGGGTGTCCAGGCCGCAAGTTCCTACGTCAAGGGAAAGGAAGGGCACACGTTTTCACGCTCCAACAGTTCTGTGCTCAGTGCCCAGGTATGATGCAGCCATGGACGAACCCTTCCACCTCGTCTATCGGGAGGCGAGCGCAAGGAGGGTTTGGGAGATTTTCGGGTCGGGCTACAAGCCAACTGAACTTTAACGGTGTTCCCGTGCCTTTTCCACGATTCCACAATATGCCACAATCGATCGCGAGAGCCAGAGAGAGATGGAGAGACCGCCCATGTAGCCATTTTGGCTCAAGGTGACTTCATCCTCTTCGCCATCCTGGGCGACTTCATCAGCTCAAGGGGGGGTTAGCGGGGGGTGAGCCGGAGATCTGTGCCGTTTCCGGTGATCCCACCCCTGCCCTTCTGACGTAAGCTAGACGTCTCCTAGAACTTGCAGCCATCGAGCTCCACGTAAAGTTTGAGTGCTACCTGAGTCAGCCTGAGCGGGGGAGTGCAAGTTCTTCATCGCCTCCGCGCTTGTCGAAACTGAGAAAATCCGCTTCTGCTAAGAGGACCCTGCGGGGGAGGACACGCCGAT